TAAGTCAGTAGAGTAATTAAAGCGTGAAGACATGGCTTTGAATCCCCAGCTCCCGAAAAGCCAATTATGGTGTGGAACACTTACAGTCCCAGCTCTGGGAAGGCACAGGCAAGTGGATCCATGGAGCCAGTCAGTGAGCTCCTAGTTCAGTAAGAGACCCTGTCTCAATAAGGTCAAAGCAATCGAGAAAGACATGGAATGTTGATTTCTAGCCTCCACACATATTCATATGCACATGCTCACACATTCACGTGAACACACACATGCAGACACACAACTGAAAGTGTCAAGCTCCTCCATGTTCTGTTTTCTTATTCATAAGATGGGCGCTGGATAAAATGCCCACCTGAGAAGGTGTTAATGAAGGCATATGACACGATTTTGGTGGGACACACCCACACTGCATCAGGGATACACAATACCGATAACTGATGTACCCAGAGAGCATTACCTCTCCAAACCAATGCTGAACTCACTCATGAAATGACTGCACTAACATGGTGGGATACTTGATGACTTTGAACCTACATCCAGGAAGCTGGGCAGGCTCCCTCCATCTAGCATGTAAAAGCTGATCACCCTCAGGACAACAGTGAAAATCCAGCTCCATCTGACCCTCAGTTGCACAGCAGCTCCCATCCTTGGTTGAGAAAGACTCAGGTCACTATTCTGGAGGGGTCAACAATACACCCAAGAGCCCTACTTCTAATCAAGAGCTTTCTGGTTTTGAGCTATAAGGCCGGGGTGGGTCCTGGGTCTCTCCAACCCAATGTGGAGCTTAGAAACTACCAAAGCTGGAAGCTTGACCCCCAAGAGACTGCGGCCAATTTTTTTCCCAGGCGCTCACACAGACTGATTTTAACTGGCATTTTGTGTTCATTGGGGGCCAGTGAGAACTTTGTCCCTAGCAGGGAACTGGAGTTAACGTTTCTGCCTCAGTCATGATATTTATGAGATTTGTGTCTTTCCTGGACAAGTTCTAGGGCAGAGACTGCTCATTTTCAGTGTTTTGCCTGGAACTAGGAATTCTCTTTCTGTGGCAAGGCAGTGCAGTCTTTTATCTCTTTCCAGAAACTCACATATGCTAGCAAAGTGGATGTCTCCAGATCTCATAAGCTGGCCGGGACTTTCAGACCTGGACTACAGAAGGGCTCCACTCACACAGTGATACTAATGGTGATAGTGGTTGCAAAATATTTCCTCGCCCGTGCTTATTTCATACTCAGGTGAGAACGGAGACGCTGACAATAACAGTATTGGACTTTAAGTGATCTGTGATTAAACTGTGGCCCAGAGAAGTCACCTGACTTTTCTAAGGCCACAGAGACAGCAAGGTTAAGACAAAACTGAACCAGAGCTGTGGTCTCCTGGTTTCTGATCACATCTTGCTCTCTAACTCCATGACTAATGTCAATAATGCCTTCCATCCATGTACATGGAGAGTCTTGGGACTTTGGATATTTTTAGGGAGTCCTGGGAGAATAGAACAACATTCCAGAGGAGGAAAGAATAGGAAAAAAGCAGCCAGAGTACACATGGAGACTCAGAATAGCAGGTCAACTGTGGCTGGAGAGACAGCTCCTGAAAGTGAGTTCAGAGGAGGCAGGCTTCCCGTGCCTGGGTAAAGGACCCCCAGGTGAAGTAGCAGGTGATCTGAACTTAGACTCTGACTTAGTCATTGACCTTCACAGTGACCAGCTGGGGAGGTCTCCTTGGCCCCTGCAACAGAGCGAAGAACCCACAACTTCTTTATCTGGAGAACAGACAGCTACATGGCCCTCAGCCAGAACTGTGTCTGAATATGGGCTGGAAGAGGTGGCCCAAGAGGGTGAGGACAAAACAGTCCCCAGGTAAACAGACCACTGAGGCTTGGTGTAGCTCAGGGTGCATGTACATACAGAGGCCCCAAAGGGTCCCGCTGCCCTTAAGAGTCCACAGCAAACATCCATGAGAAGAGGCCCTGCAGGATGGAAGGGAGCGAGGACCAGGTCTAACTGCACACTAGTAACAAGGTCTCTTCTAGAAAGTGAGCTTTCTAAAACATAATTTGGGTTCTTTATGACGTGGGAAAGGGCAGCGGAATTCCCATGAGGAACTGGTTGGCAGCTAGGCTCACACTATTTCTACTGCAGTGACTTGAAGCTACAGATCCTGGGAGAGATCAGGCTGGCTGAATAGTGGCACAAATGTTCAGCTCACTGAGAGGCAAACTCCTGGGGGAACTTAACCGGAACCACATATAACTGTGAGTTTCAACACAGAATTGACACACCAGTGTACCATTTGATGCTAGAGCAGGTAACCTGAAAATGAACTCCACTTCAAGCTCTCATTCCAGGGTTTTAATCAGATTTGGACAAATTTGACCCCATGCAGAGTGTGGTGCCTTGGGTAGAGAGGTCAACTGTAAATGATACAAGCCTGTCTGTATCCAAACATTGCCACATGTAAACTGTGTTCCACAGTGGACAGCCAGCAACAGCTACAGTGAGCCCAGGGGGAGGACAGAACACGGCTGGGCTCAGGACACAACAGTGGCCATTCCTTCACCTGCTGTGAAAGCCTGTCCTTCCACTAGGCACTCTGACTCCCCACATCTCCAAGGACATTCATGGGGTCCTCATGCTCACGAGTCATGTTACATGGGAGGCTATCTGAATGCAAAAACACACAACGTGACTCACTTTAAACATCCTCGTGCCAGAAGCTGCACTTTCTATCTCCAAGGACAGAGGCAGGCTAACTAAGCCAAAGGTTTCACACTTTTCACAATCAATGGTAGACTCTTGCAACACTCTGAGAATTCATGGTGGTCCATGGCCATGAGTGGCCAGCGATCCTGAGAACTGGATGTCAGTCATTTTACATCCACCTTCCCTTCATGAGAAACCCTGGAAACTGGTGGTTGAGAGACTGCATTTCCATCACAGGGGAAGCACGGACTTGACTGAGATTCCAGTTCAGAGCAGGCTAACAGAACCAGCCCACCACTGCATGATCTGAAAGTGCATGGGGACAGAGCTTGACACAACTCTGGACAGCGTGATCACCCAGCCACACAGTTACCTGGGTGGAAGGTTGGCTGAGGATGGCACAAGGAAAAGCAGGTGCTCCCAGGAGTCCATCGTACACGCTGGCCTGCCGCATCACCATCTATGGTGACTCCTGCACACAGTGTATAGTCAGGAGTCCATCGTACACGCTGGCCTGCTGCATCACCATCTATGGGGACTCCTGCACACAGTGTATAGTCAGGAGTCTATCTTACACGCTGGCCTGCCGCATCACCATCTATGGGGATTCCTGCACACAGTGTATAGTGATTCACTACTCATCTATGTACTTACATACTGTTCACTCTAAAACCCAGGACCACAGCATTCCAGGCAAGCATTTGGCTAATAACTCAACTAAGCCAAGGGACTAATGGTGCCCAGAGGTCAAGTTAGGAAACAAGGTGTGTATGGTTACATTTGGAGCCAGATACAAGGGCCACTAGATGGCACCTTGCAGGCTGAGTGACAGCCATGAACCAGGATGGCTGTAGAGAATCGGAGGTGATGAGGCAGAGTGTGAAGTTCAGAGATTTGAGATAAGGAAACAAAATAGTCACCTGTGTTCCTCCTCTCAAGGCTGATGGTGCACGTGGGAAAATGGAGGGCTGACAGGAGACGCATGTGGATGATTCCCAGGGAAAGAACGGTCTATGAGAAACGCCTCTACATAATTCCCCAAAGCTAGTGCTTCTGGGGATGCTTGCACAGCAGAGAACAAGATGGGCCGTGCTGGGAGAGGACTGAGGCCTGGATGTCCTTTGTGATTCTCAGAATGAGGTGAGGCCTCTGTGACCTCACAGGGTGAGTCCCTGTCCTAGTGACAGCAGTGGTCTTGGCCTGAGGGCAACACAGAGTCCATCAAGGACAGCTGGGAGTCAAAGCAGGCCCAAGTGTCTTGAAGATTTGGGGCTATTTTCTGGGATGGATACTACCCAAAATTAATCTGAGTGACTCAGTCAGTGGGAGGCACTTCTACACCGGGGCTTTAAATGTGGAGACTGAGACATAGTGAGATAATTAAAATGTCTCTTACTTAGGGCAGTTCATCCTAGGAAGAACTAGAAACAGCAGGGATCAGGGTTCCCATAGCAGTGGGACTGGCCACTCAAGAACCCAGGGAGAGAAACTGCTGGACTCACCAGGGAGAGGGGCCTTGGAATGAAGCCACACAGATGTATCTGGACCAGGACTCCAACCTCCAGCCTAGGTAAGGAAGGATGGAGGGTTCCTGTTTGCATCCCCAACAATGACCATCATTCATAGTTTGTCCAGGCATGGTAGAGGAAGTCTCTGGGGTGCTGACATCTGAGCTTCCCTGGTGTAGCAATCTTTTCATTTGTACTCAGATAGCTGACAAATATGGGAACAAACTCAATGTCACTGTCACAGGAACACCATGGCTGCACTCTCCCCTCTAATTCTGTACTTACATACACATTTTCACTTGGTGTGTGTGTTATTGGTGTGTGCTCCTGTCTGCAGGTTCACATCCATGTGTGAAAGTGCTTGTAGATGATACTGAATAATGTCACATGTCTTCCTCTACCAACATATATGACAGAGGGTAAATTTACGCTCAGCCTTTGTTGATAAGATGACAACATCACCACATCTTAAGCATCCCACTTTGCTGGGACAGTGTGCTCAGCACAGTGTGGGGAAGCGTGGTCGCACTTCATGTTATACTCAGGCACATAGGCAAAAGCTGGAGAGAGGTGTGGTCAGGCCTCTGTTACCTCATATGATAGATCACTGCCATGGTAACGGCTGTGGTCTTCATGGGAGGGAGCACAGTATCTACTGGGGTGGGCTGCGGGGTTCAGACGGAACTGCAGGTGTGAAAGTAAGTTGGGGCTAAGTGGTGGGAGGAATCCACACAGGATTCTTGGGATGAAGGCCTAATTTAAACTCCTTACACTATTCAGAGAAGCGGGGGTGATAAAGGGTGTGAGACACAATGTGGTCCTTGAAGTGACCTTTAGCAGGACCTCAGCTACAGCACTAGGAAAAGTTGCGGTAAGTATCAGCAGACATGCTCCAAGGACTAGCCAAACAAGGACTCAAGGAGATCACAGCCACTATTCACCAGAGAATGAGGTCACAGGATGACCCCAGACTGTACCATGTGAAAAGACTTCAGGTTACAGACCAGGGCAGGATAAAGCTCTGTTGTTGTGCCCCAAGCCAGGGACAGCGGTCCTCTATGACAGCCATAGTGTGCAGGCAGGTCAGTTCTTTTCTTCTACTAACCCCCACCTGTATTTGTCAGAAAAGGTGACAGCAGCTGAGGCAGAGCCAGCACCCATGTCAGGATCCAGTTTCCAAACTGTGATGGGATGGAGCTCTGCTGTTACACTGTTCTCCAGTGAATGACATTCTCAGAGGCCATTGACTACCATGGGAGAGCCAGTGTGGGAAATCTCATGACATTCTCAGAGGCCATTGACTACCATGGGAGAGCCAGTGTGGGAAATCTCAAGACATTCTGCTTTCTTTGCCCTCCTCCTTCAAGCTACATTGAATGGTGGTGAAGGGGCAGGTTGAAGGCCAAATTTATCAATCAGCTAGGTACCCAGGATCCTGAAGATGGCACACTCCAAGCCTCATGACAA